ACGATTAAATTAATTAATTAATTTAATTTAGAAACGAATAAATTAATAAACAAAATCAATATTACCGTACCCGTCGCGCGCCGACCGATCGTCGATTTAATGCGCCGCACCTGACGGCGCGCTCTTAATGCCTTATGGTTGGACAGTTTCAATAGCTCACTATTCAAAAACCATTGACACCTCAACATTTTGCTATTAACATTTTCGACTCAGTTTTTCATGAGAAATACGTAGATGCCGGCTTCTCCGGGTGACCTGGATCACCCTGTATATTATATACAATATATAAACACACTAATTAATATTAAATATTAATATATCAAGCTTACTTTAGTATAGTTTTTACGTCATCTAACTGTTTATTTATAGTACTCATACCGTCTCTGAAAATTGTTATATGTATTATTAAATATATATATACATATACAGGGTGACCCGAAATTTGCGAATCAAAATATCATAGCAAGAAATAATATATGATATCAATAATTTTACTCACCGAATATTTATATTATTTTGAGATTGTTGCTGTTCTGCATCTCTCATTTCATTATTCCGGTAGTTAGTTGCAAAATTCATACACTCGTTTCCATTGTAATTATCATTTACAAAATTCGCAACAGCATTGGTAGTTGGATTTGGTAATTGTATCTCTGATGGAATATGTGATACAGTATGTGATATGTATGACATTGTAGACATTGTAGGCTCCATTGTATGAGTAGAAGTAGTTGGAAGTGTTTGCTCCATATTTCTGTAATAAAAGATATTATAAGTACTATTAATATGTGTAATAATCACAGACTTTTATATAATAACTGTGCTCACTGTAATTATTTCATACATAACAGAAAGACAGAAAGTGACATTCTCCAACAGGATAAATTGTAAAGAAAATTGTGACCACATTTGGAACTCATTTCATATTATGCATTGTTTAACGCATAATGTTATGATTTATTTTGTCGTAATATTATTTTACGAACGTTATTTTAACAAGATATTTAATTTAAAATTTATTCAATTTCCTCTTTTATATTTATAAATCACACGACTGATAGTGCGAAAGTAAAAGGAGCAGATAAAAAAACCATAAAAAATCTTTTTTAAAAAAGAAAGAATATACGCCAAGTACCTAAAAAAATGTGTTGATCAAAAATAATCGTGAAATCAATAAAATTAACCAAGTACCTCATTATTAAAAAAAGACCTCAAAAAAGCTTATTTATGAAAAATATTCAAAAATTGAAAAATGGAAAAGTGATAAACTAGATTATAATGAAGAAAAAACTTGGCGTGCCCGGGTCGCATTAATTGCATTTCTGTATTAAACAATATGTAAATTTATATAAAAATGATTTCAATATATATATATATGGATATGTACATGCTTTTTTATCTAACTATTGCATTCATGTTTGTGTATATCCGCAACTATTGTATGTAATAATGTTTTTATATCTGTATATTTATTTGTATTACAAATTTTTCATATACTATAAATCATTGGCTGTAGAACATTGCGTTTTCATGCGACCCAGGTATTTTGTCTGACTATTAGTTTCATGTTTGTATATATCTGCAAATAATTTATATACTATAAAACATGTGGAATATTGCATTTTAAAACGACCCGGGCACGCCAAGTTTTTCTTTATTATAATCTAGTTTATCACTTTTCCATTTTTCAATTTTTGAATATTTTTCATAAATAAGCTTTTTTGAGGTCTTTTTTTAATAATGAGGTGCTTGGTTAATTTTATTGATTTCACGACTATTTTTGATCAACACATTTTTTTAGGTACTTGGCGTATATTCTTTCTTTTTTTAAAAAGATTTTTTATGGGATCTCACTGCTTCTTGTTAAATTATAATAGAATTTAAACCTTCTAAAAATAAACACATTATTATTTATAAAATTGTTACTTGACAAGTAATATATTTTAAAATAAAAGATGCAATATCCTCATTAGACGATACATTAATTATTGGTGCATCTTTTATCCAAATTAA